TTCAGGTTGTGGGGGCTTGCTGGCTTGGGGTGTTAGATTCTGGCTGGCGAGATTCTGTGGTGAGGTGGAAGCTAATAAACGCAACAGAACTGTATCTGCGCTGTCTTGGGGAGTTCTTTGGGCTGTACCTGACATCAATCTCTCCAAGAACTCCCTGTTCCCACAACACCGTGAATTCTTTAGGGTGGTGCCAGTCTCATCTTCTTAAACTTCTCATGCTCCTGTTGAGGGCTAAGGGAATGCTTATCTCCTCGAGCACAGCCTTCATCCAACCATTCTTTCACAAGGGCAGAGATATACAATTGAATATCATCAGCATATTGATTGATATGCACCCATGCTGATGGATTACCTCTTCCAGGGGCTTCATGTGGATGTTAAATGGGCAGAGGAGAGAGCCCTGAGGCAGGGATCCAGGGCTAGGGACCTTTGGAGTTGCATTCCCACCACCTTCTCAACAACCACCCCCTCTCTCAAGGAAATATTAACCACAGCATAACCACACACTGCCTCCCTAGAGGCTTTAACCAACCAGAAGGGCACAGATCTAAAACACAGGTGGTTGGACCAACAGCACCAATGACCTGTCCACTTCCACAGAACTAACAATTTCAAACTCCTCCCAGATAAGAGCACAAACCATACCTCTTGTATTACATAGCAGTACAAGCTTCCTGCCCGGGAACCACCACTTGAGCTTCACTGCCAAACTTTAATTTGAAAGCAGCTCTAGAAGCATTACAGAGACAGCAATTTCTGAAGACCCCAAGAGAGCAGAATATTTGGACATACCTGTACTAGTTTTATCCTGAACCGGCTGCAATTCTAGGCAAGAAAAAGAAAGCAGTACAACTACCCCCCACTTTCTACAACTTTCCTCTGTTATTCATTTGAATAGGCAGCCGTGCTTATTTCCTGGCAAAAGCAGAAGTTGAGGAGCACAAACAGATCACAGCTCTTCTGGAGGCAGAAAAGACAACTTGAAGGAGTTTATCTGGCCATGCTTTGGGGAACTAACTACACAGAAACAAACAATGGAGCTGAGACATGTAGCAATCACATGGGAAGTCCCTGGCTGGAATCTTTTCTCTGCTGTAAATTCAGTAGAGGAGGAAACGCCTTACCTTTCTGATAGGCATTTTCTTTCTTTTACTTTAAAAATGGTTCCTCCATTTGTTTACTCTGGCATAAAGATTCTCCATTTTTCTTTATTTTTGAAATGCATGGGAGCTTTTAACTTTTTTTTTCTTTTCTTGGAGAAGAGGCCCACACCCTCTTAGAATTCAGAACAGTCAGGGACTCACTCTCTGCCCCTGTAAATGTAAAAAATTATTTACTTGTCCACGCAACAATCAAGTGACTACCAGCTGACAAAGCAAATAAATCTCCCTTCAATATTTATGGAAATGCTGAAGTGAGAAGAAAAGGGAAGGGAAGTACTGAGTTCTGGGACCACCAAATCTGCCCAAATAACAAGTCTGTAGTTGTTGATTCCAGTATTGGTCACGTCCATCCACAGCACCTTGGAAGGTGGAGAAGTTTATCATCATCTTCTCATTCACTTTAAAAGATTACCCACTGTCACCGTTCTGAGTGAATACATGGTTTTCAAGCTGCTGTAACCAGCTTGTTAGAGCACCTTGATATGTTCACTTTCACCTGTTCAAATTTGCTTTTTCCCCATCTGATCCCTTTTTAATGTCTTTCTGTTAAAATGATGATGGGAGTAAAAATGTATTGAAAACTAAATTGTGAATGCTGGCTACATCATTCCTAATTGTACCCCTTTGTACAGAATGCCCTGGATTAGGGTCTTCAGATATTCAGTCTTCCAGTGCCACCCTCTGGATCCTGATGGCTGCATGCTGAAAGACTACAGACCAGTTGTCATTGACATGACAGTCAACCAGAAGTTCACCACAATGTCAAGGGCAACTATCTCCCATAGGAAAAGCAGCAGGGCTGGGCCACCCATAGCACTAGGTGATTCAGAACACAGGGATGACGTGAACTCCACCTATATGGTGGAGCTGGCTAAGCCATGAATGAGATGACTCTGGAACGTTGATGCAGAAGAGCCACTGTTCATGCACCAGAGTCCTGCTAAAACTTAGTAGGTAAATGGAAGGTTATGTTTACAATGTCTTCATTATATTTAGGTTGTGCATTTTTAGCAAACCAGACCCATAAACAAAAGAAAGAAGTCTATAGTGATAGTCAAGAATTGAGTACCATGGTGAGATTAGCATGAATCAATGTAAGCAGTACTGGGAATTCAAAATTTTGAGCAAGATAGAAATTGTGGTTCTAGTATTAGAAGGATGAGACAGTTATATTAAAAGATGCCTCTAAATCTTACTCCAGTCCTGCTGCTGGCATTCAAGCCTTCAAGGAGCCTAGTTTCACAGTCAAAACTTTCTCCTCTGTTGACTCTGTCTGTTGACCTAGGAGAATTTCTTCTGCTCCATCTGATTAAGTTGTGGAGGCTCCCAGCTCAAAGTGAGCTAGCTCAGTTTCAGCATGTATGGAGCTTCCACTTTGCCTGTACAGTATGTGGTAAAGGCTATGACTCATCCTAAGTTTCCCCATCTCATGAGCTGCTGCTTGTCCTAAAGCCCTCTTGCTTTCCTTGATCAGGTGATCCTCATGTCTAATAGCTCAGGATGGGTAAATTCCTAAATGCTTGAGGAATCAAAACTGAGGACACAAATGCAAAATAATCAAGGCTTTACTGCAGTGTTTATTAGGCAGTACCTATTGGAGGGGGACCCCACCAAAGGTTAGCGGGAGACACTCCCCTGTAGCCAAAATGGATGCCCTGATATTTATACAGTTCTACAAGAAGGGGAAGGGAAAAAGAACGCATACACATACATATTCATATGATGATGCAGGCATGCCACCTAAATGAACAATACTTCTCAAGTTACCTTCTGCCCCTCTGTTATCTGCTATCTACAAGGACAACTGTTATCTACTAG